TGGGTCAGGCCCGCCCACGCCCCTGCCCCGTCCTAGCTGGAACCGAGGAAACCTCAGCACTTCTGCCCCAGTCGCCGTGGCCTCTCCGTGCTGGAACCGGATAGGGTACTAACTCTATTTCCTCCCAGGGATTGACGACACACACAGTCCTGGGAGCTGTAGTCCTAACAAGGACTTTGAGAAATAAGAAAAGAGAAGTGAATGGCGCTTACACAATAAAATTGGGTAAAGTAAACACAAAAACAGTGGTGGAATAATAAGTGTTCACCAACACCTTAAACACAAAATTTGAAATGATATATCCAGTGCTAACAAGGACTTTCCCCGCTTAATCCTCCATGACCTGGAGCAAGAAGCTGCAAAGTGAATAGCCCTTTCCCCTCCGAGTAACTAGACGACACATAGTTCTGGGAGTACAACTGATATTAATTAGTCAAACTTGAACTTTTATGCACAGATCCCAGCAGGGGGTCTCCAAACAATACAATACAAGCCACTCCCAGAGATCTATGTGCCTGGGAGATAATTGAGTTAAAGACCGGTAAGCTAACTATCTCCCAAAAACATAAACGTACCCCACAACATAATTTAAAAAAACATACAGTAACCCCACATGTCCTATATCCCCAAACAGCCCTGATCTGAGTATCCAAGTCGTCCAAATAGCCTCAGATCCATGCAGTATAAGGGAAATGACACCGGGGCACATGTGGTCCTATGCCCAAAATAGTTCCAGAGCAATGTGTGCTTAGGCTCGTCAACTTTCGGGAGCTCCTGTGGCTGAAATACAGGGTGCTCTGCCTGGTTCTCAGGGAGCATTTGTTCCTCCTAGTCTCAGACACCTTCCCTCCAAAAAGGGCTCTCTGGCGGTTCGCAAAGTGGTTCAAAACACCAGACCAAGTTGTCCGGGAACTGTAAGGTCACATAGCTGAAAACAGTTCCATAACAGTTGCAGCTAAGTACCACTGAGGACCGTTCGCGGGTTAGTTCACACAAACGATCTAAGGTGACCACGAACCACAAAGTCCTCATGCTGAAATTAGTTCCATAGTGGTCGGTTCTAAGTACTGCTGAGAAACGTGCGTGGGTTTGTTCATGCGAAGGGCCACCAGGGAGCTAGCGTTCGGTTCAATTCGTGAGAAGGGAAAGTGCCGAACAAGGGGCACCGAGGGAAAGCTGCTAAGGGCGGCTAGGCAGGGTAACTCACGACCTGCACCATAGTTGGTGGGCAGGAGGCCAGTTTCCACACTCCTCCAGGAGTTCATGGCAAACGTCCATAGAAAGGAGCATTTGTCACATGGACCTCATCTGTGAGCAAAATTGGGTAAAGGGTCATGGTGCTAACTTTGCCTAATTAAAACAGTTATGACAAAGAGGAAATAGTTATGGCCAGGTTTACTGAGAGGAAAAGAACAAAAATTCACATTAATAAATGACAACCTTGTGAATTAAGACGTGGTGTAATGATTAGGCAAAATAAATCAGAAGAGGCCTTTCCATAAGGTGAAATGCTATGAACTAGGGTTATCAAGGCATAATATACTGTTGGAGCTTACTCCAGAAGTACCTGATAATTTATATGCTATAGCAATAATCCCATATATATCTTTCCCACTAGAACTTTATTTGTAGAGCAGGGGGTTTATGGGAGTTTTATTTAAAGTGAAAACGTTCTACTGTAGAAATCGAAATTCGATTTTTTGTTGTTGTTGTTGTTATTAATATTTGGAAATCTAAATTCTTAGCTACAACTCCCAACGAGTGATGACATCTCCTACAACCAGTGGTGGCTGGTGAAGTTTTATGATGGTGTGGCATTAGACTCTTCTCTTCAGAATTTCACTCCACCCTTCAACTCTGTAGCCACCATCTTCTGACCTGTGTCATCTATCTGCTTAACTTCATATACTCAACTCCTAATGGCAATCCCATTCCACATAGAGTTACCCATACAATACTCAGAGCTAGTTATAATACAGAGATATCCATGTCATAAACAAAGCTTGGTACAATACACATATTGCAATATAATACACCAAACTGATAATAATACAGAAATACATGCGATGTGACCTGTATGCAATGAACCAATTTGTCCGCACATATCGAAGTGATAAAATAAAATTCAATAAAAACTAAATAAACAAAAATAATAATACAGAAATTAGAAGATGTTGATACAATATGTAGAGCTGAGCCTAATAGAAAGATATTCATACAATACACAGAGCTGGGAACAATTCGTAGATACCTATAAAATACACATTTCCTTGCTTAGTAAAATCAGGCAGGCACTGAGGCTAGAGGGGGAGAGAAAAAATAATACTGGTATACAATTACAGTTGGCAGGGACCATGAGCTGCTGCTACTGTGCTCTCTTCCTGCTACTTTAAAGATGGCTTCTTTCTTTTCTCTGCTGTGGCCACTGTAACTCCACCTCCTGGTGCTGTTAGCCAATGATGGCTCCTTAATAGAGAGGCCAATAGCATGCCTCCACTCGTTGGCAGCTGGCTCTGCTGTCTGAATGACAACTCAATGGCAGGCCCCTGGAATTCCTTTTTAAAGGAGAATAGGAATGTGCAAAATCTGCTGAAACGGGACAGATTTCAAAATTGTCCCATTCTTCTGACATACCTTCTTTCTCTTACGAAAGCTTCTCCAGACATCCACCAATAAAGGGTGGGAGGGGGCCTGCAGAATTGAAACAAATTAGAAAATTAAAGACACAGATTTTAAAAATACGGTGGAGCAGTGCCCCAAGTACCTCTATGGAAAAGTCTCCACTGCCGAGCACTGGATTGTTGAAACCAAAGGCAGCCATTGCAGGTTGCAAGGTATGGACACAAGGGTAGGCTGTATATTTAGTTTAAAGTAAAGATTAATAATAATAATAATTATTATTATTTTTATGTTATTATTTTTATAGTGCCAACAAACTCAGCAGAGCTTTACAGTGAGTGGACGAACAAACATATAGTTGTAACCAGACAAGTTGGACACACAGGAACAGAGGAGTTGAGGGCCCTGCTTAATGAGCTTATATGCTAGAGGTAGTGGGGTGAAGATACACAAAAGGTAAGGATAGTATTAGACTAATGACAGTTGCAAGAGAGGAATCTGTCGGGAGCTATTAACAGTTTAATTGATATGCTTTTATGAAGAAGTGGGTTTTTAATGATTTTTTGAAGGAGTGGAGACTGGGATCGCATCTAATGGGGGAGAGAAGTGAGTTCCACAGGAACGGTGAAGCGCTCGAGAAGTCTTGAAGGCAAGCATCAGAGATGGGAGTACGGACAGAAGATAGACGTAAGTCTTCAGCAGAGCGTAAGGGCCTAGACTGGACATACTTGTTTATAAGGGAGGATAGATAGGTGGGAGCATTAAGTAGAGATTTGAAAGCAAGAACCAGAATTTTAAATTGAGCCCTACATATTACAGGCAGCCAATGTAGGGACTGACAGAAGGGTGAGGTGTGGGTGGTGCGGGCAGACAGGAAGATGAGCCTCGCCACCGCATTCATTATGGAAGTTGGGAGCATGTAAGACCACTGAGAAGCGGAGTACAGTAGTCAAGGCGAGAAAGGCCAATTGAATGTACCAGCACCTTAGTCGCATCTGGCGTTAAGTAGGGTCGGATGCCCGCAATGTTTTTGAGATGGAAGCGTCAGGATTTGGCGATAGACTTAACATGAGGGGTGAAGGAGAGGTTGAAGTCATAGAGAACACCTAGGCAGCGAGCCTGCATGGTGGAGCTGATGGTAGCACCGTTGACTTGGAGGGAGACAGACACAGGAGTAGCAACACTTAAGGGAGGAAAGACCAGAATTTCAGTTTTGGTCAAGTTCAGTTTAAGGAAGTGGGCAGCCATCCAGTTAGAAATAGCGAGTAGATCATTGGATACTTTGGTCAGTGCCATTTCTACAGAGTGCTTAGTGCGAAAACCAGACTGAAGCGGGTCTAGCAAGAGTTGGACTTGAGGAAGTTTATCAATCTTGCATACACAACTCTTTCAAGGATCTTGTATGCAAAAGGCAGTAGTGAGATAGGACAGTAGTTGGATGGGGAGTTAGGGTCAAGGTTGGGCTTCTTTAAAATTGGTGTTATAGTTGCATGTTTGAAGGGTGATGGAAATATGCCAGTGGAGATAGATTGAGAATTTTAGTGAGAGGTAGAGAAAGAGAAGAAGACAGAGTACGGATGAGATGTGAGGGAATTAGATCTAGGGAGCAAGTGGTGGGGCGGGAGGACTGGAGCAGAGCAGAAACCTTTTCCGCTGTAGCAGGTGCGAATGAACATAGAACAGCAGAGGGAGTGAGGCTAGGGGAAGTATTGTAAGGGGAAGAAGAAAGATGAGAGATCTCTTCCCTGATTGTAGAGATCTTGTCAGTGAAGTGAGTTGCAAAGTCTGAGGTAGTAAAGTTAGTAGGTGGAGGAGGAACAATATGGCGAAGAAGAGAGTTAAATGTTAGAAATAGTCATTTGGGTTTGCAGGAGAGTGTGGTTATGAGGGTATTGAAGTAATTTACTTTTGCAGAGGAAAGAGCCAAGCTGTATGAGCGCAGTATAAATTTATAGTGGAGAAAGTCAGATGCACAGTGAGACTTTCTCCAACAGCGTTCAGCAGTTCTGGAGCATTTTTGAAGATATCGAGTCTGCTTGGTGTGCCAAGGTTGTTGTTGGGTGCACTTGCTGCATTTAAATATAGAAGGTGCCATGATGTCTGGTTGAGAGGAGAGGGTGTAATAGTAGAAGGAGGTTGCAGAGCTAGGACAGGTGAAGTTTGAGATAAAAGAAATCCATTTAGGCTAACCAATGGTCAACTAACATATTGCACCCTTGGGTTTGTGGCCAGCGACTGAACGAAGCAGATGCACATGCCGAGAGAAACTTCCAAATTTTCAGCTTAATTGAGCCAAAACCAACCTACAAGCTCCAGAAAGCCGTACTGTCAGTATGAGAAAGAATACAAATCTTCGTAGGAGCAATGCAGCCCCCGCTTCCATGGATATCGGGACTTTACCACGAGTTACCCCACTGCGGCGGCCTACAAAGATGGCGCCCATGCAGGAAGACTCTGAGCTAGCTTCGGAGGAAAGTGAACAAGAAGACCCTCGATGTCCTGCTGAGCAAAGACTAACAAGCAGGACCTTCACACTCACCGACTGTGAAGCGGTACTCAGAAGGTCAAGCCCCGAAACACGTCCAGAAAAGGTACCCCCCAGCAAAGCTGATATACAAAACATGCTGAAAGAGATGAAATCCTTCTTTGCGACCGCACTGATAGGAGAAGATTTGGCAGTGATGACGGCCCGGGTGCAAGCGCTGGAAGACAATGGTAATATAACCAGGGGCAAACAGGAAGACATGGAAGCCGAAGAGAACAGACTAAAACAAGCTAATCTCTCTATGGAGGGTAGGCTGGCCGTCCTGGAGGACTCTAAGCGGCAACAAAACCTGCAGGTCCGCAGCGTCCTGGAAGACATCACTACTACTAAGGTACCCTACTACCAACGTAAAATGCTGAGCTCAATGCTCTCTCTAGCCAAAGCCAAAGCAATGCAACTTGACTACCACTATCGAGTCCCTATATCAACTAAAGCCCCAGCCGGGGTCCCAAGGGACTTAGTGCTATGTTTCCAGTCCTTACAGAGTAAACAGGCCTTAGCGAAAGCTGCACACTCCTACCATTTTGAGGGCTCAGACCTCTCATTCTACAACGACCTTTCTAGATCCACTATGCTCTGGAGAAAATCCCTGCAACCAGTAACCAAGCAGCTGAGGGACAATGACATTAAGTACCGCTGGGGACCAGGCCGCAAGCTAACGGTGACTCATGCAGAGAACACCATGCAACTTATCAAGGTCTCGGAGGCAGAGTGGCTTTTAGGGAACTGGACTTACCGATCCCAAACAACACCCTTTTGCTGACACCGACCACCTCATGGGTACATACTGTTACTCCATGGGACGTAAACGTGGTTCGGCCTTTCTACCCCAAATCGCAACGAGGAGCTGAGGCACGCTGGAGGTGGCGGCGTGCACCTGCCTAATCTATGTCTTCGCTAACTTTACAAAATGCTCTTTTCTCAAACATTGCTATTAGTTTATGATACATACTTGCTTTCTCTATGCTGATTTCTATATACTGATTTCTGCTCAATTTCTTAAGTGATAATTATTTAACCAGAAGTAGCTCAGGTTACATACAGATAGCAGATGTTACTTGTTAGAATCTCTAGGACTCCCACACACCCTCATGAATCTCTAGGACTCCCACACACCTTAGTTGAAGTGTCTAATTAGCATGTCATATAACAGTGCATACAGGACCAGATAGAATTTAGATAGAGTAGAAACTTTGTCTAGGCTCCACAATTTACTTAAACTGTACATGTCTATATTTATACATATTGCACTGTTTGATGTCACCTTAGGTAAGATAGCTTAGTGGGCTAATGTATCACCAGTAGAATCTGTTCAACCCTTGGGTCACAGGTTCAAATCCCAACAGCATTTACTCAGCCTTTAATCCTTCCATGGTAGATGAAATCAGTACCAAATAAATTGTGTAATATTAACACCCCTGAATGTTGGGCTAAGGTAATATCCCCAATATGTACTTGAAAACCAGAGTAATCTGAATGTATCTTTCCTGGTTAAATACTTTGTTATTATTAATTGTTTAACGATAGAAGTCTGACACATCTATTCTTTGAACATATGTATGCAAATGAGGGTAATTATCAAAGTCTTGAAAATATATCTTAATTACCTTTTGCACAATTATATATGTTATGACAGATAAGAAGTTTAAGAACCTTACCTCAAATAAAGTAATGTCTCAGGCTAAGAGGTGCTATTCCTTTTAAATCATTTTACAGGGTCAGAGATCGGTGAGATAGCAATACTTTTTGTTTTACAATTCTGTTCAGGATGTTTTAATGCTAATTGGTCTGAGATTACCAATGCAAGTATTCGCACGCGCAATTTAAGAAATGCAGCATCTTAATAAGCAAAACAACTTAAAAAAACTCGAAGCACAGACTGAATGTAGGTTACATTTAAATAGAAATATATAAAATGCCATAGGGATGGCAATCATTTCATGTTTTGCAAAGCCTTTAGGTATAACATATTCACAGCACTACTTAACCTTCATAAAGAATGTGATCAGAGGAGGGAGAAGGCTTAATTAAGAGAAAGAAGCATTCCCTAAATGCATTCCTATACAACGAGATGTGTAAAAGCTATCAGAAAGCAAATAACAGCTTTATTAAGTATAGGTTTTAATGTAAATGCTAAACACTGTGAATGAAAGAGATCACAGCAAATCAGCGGGATGTTATTCAAAATATTTTCTTTTTAATCTAAACCTAAAGATTAAAACATTAATGTATTCGCTGCTAGCAGTTAGCTTTTTGCAATTGAAAGATGAAATAATTAAAAGATCAAAACACATCTAAGATTTTATGGGCTTGTATCCTCATCCGTGCAAACATTTTGATTGGTAGATTTTAGAAGGCTGAATCGCTCCCCTACTACAACAAAAACATAATTATTTTGCTTATCTGTCAAACACGGTGTCTGACTTTTCACTTTCCATATGCGATTATACACTAAAAAAACTAATTCATTTCCTTTCAATGCAAATTCAGATAGAATTTCAAATTTTTAGGCCAAAAATAGCTGAATTGGAAAAATTCTAATATGCGGGCCAAAATATTTAAAAATAACTTTGAAGCAATTTATGTTTTAGCAAATAACCCTATTGGCAGGGAGGACAGTAAATCTTTGGCATGGTCTTTTGCAGACATAATTCACAGATCTCCTGTTCATGCAAATCATGCAATGTTTGAGTTTGACAGATTGAGACAAGTTGTAATTTTAAATATCTCTGCAATCTTCATCAATATGACTTGTGCAGCATGAAGGACCATTCATAGAGAGAGATTAACTTTTTCAAATGACTTCCTAGCTCCAGGGCACCTGGTGTACTTTACTGCAGTCAGTGGCGGAGCTACCGTGGTCGCAGGGGACGCAGCTGCGACCAGGCCCGTCACTCCAGGGGGTAGAACCGCAGGGGCCCCACGTTATGGGTCCCATCTGGACCGCCTGGGAGGAAGAATGTGAACTCTGACTCCCATCATCCTGAGCCACTGGACCCCAGATAAGTCACCCTCCTGCACCTAAAAGGTAGGAAACAGGAGGGTGACTAAACCATTTTGCATGTGTGTGTGTTTGTGTGTCTTAATGTATGTGTGTGTCTGTCTGTATGTATGTGTGTCTCTATATGTATGTATGTGCGTGTGTGTCTCTATGTGTATCTGTCTGTCTGCATTTGAATCTGTATGTCTGCTTATCTGTATGTCAGTATGTGCCCTGTGTATCTCTATGTGTTTCACTGTTTCTATCTGTATGAGTGTCATTCTGTGTATTTGAATGTTTGTCCTTAAGTGTCTGTGTATCTCTCTGTATGTGTGTCTGTGTATCTGCATGTGTGTCAGTGTGTGTCTGTGTATCTGTATTTGTGTCAATGCTTGTATCTATAAGAGTGTCATTCTGTGTATCTCAAAGTGTGTCATTCTGTGTGTCTGTGTATCTGCATGTTTTTCTGTGTGTATATATGTGTCTGTGTATCTGTGTGTTAGTTTGTGTGTCTGCATTTGCGTGTGTGTATGTGTGTCTGTGTATCAGTATGTGTGTCCATGTATGTATCTGTATGTGTTATATGGTGTGTATGGTGTGTATTTGCATGTATGTCAGTGTGTGTTTGTATGAAGGAGACACGTTGAGGGGTATGAGTGTGACACATGGAGGGGCTGGGAGGAGGTCGGGGGGAGTCAGACATATAGGGGGGCCCAGGGCAATTTTCGCACCAGGGTCCCGTGGTTTCTAGTTATGCCTCTGACTGTAGTCAATCATGAATTTTCCCAGTTGGTCAATCCAGGCCTGGGGAACATTATGTTTCTGCCAGCAGATATCTATTCCACTATTTTCAGCTACAGTGCAAGGCTGCAGTCCACATCTTCTATATACAAGTGTCCTTGGTGGTATTTTCCCTCCCTTGCTTGTTAGCCACCATTTGGAAGACCCTTTCTTCTCCCTCACCCCTACAATCTAAGTCAGTGTTTTAAAGGGTTAGTCTAACTATTTTTGTGCCTATTGATTTTTTAATAAATTGTGTCCTATTGGGCATTATTCTTTAGGCCCTTTTGCATTTACCATAGAATTACAATAGAACTAAGCTAAAGCTTACCTGAAATCCAGAATTGGGCAAACCTCTCAGCATGGCTTTCTACACCCATTCTGACTTCACAGCAGCTGCGCAAGGGAAGGTCCAATAAAAGTCTACTCATAGAGAAAAAAAAACAGAAAAATTTGAAATTGCATGCAGGTATATTTAGCTACCACTCACAGCATTGCCAAAATTTAAAATTGTTGGAACTCTATAAAAACATACGTAGATGCATCAAAGTGTAGTATATTGCTAAGATGGTATATGTTCCCATTTGGGTCACTCCTATGGACTGGAGAATATCAAAGGCTTTATTGGCACATGAAATAAAAATAACATACAGAAAACAATAAGTAGCACAAGCTTTTCAACCCTCTAAAAGGTATATTCCACAAGTACATGATCCTCCAAACCATTCTCTCTCATTTTAAGTGGATCCCAATCCCAATTAGTCCTGTTTGCCGCCATCGATTCTTCTGGTTGAAGATGGACATCCGATCATATAGCTGTCATCAAACATAAATAAATATTAATAAATATTAAAAACAGTATGATATACAATTTAATCACACATTTAAGTATTTAAAATAAGTCATATACTTGCATCATGAATACCATAACAGCCGTCAGGCACCTTAAAAACTGGCACAAATATGAAAAATACAGTAATGGGTCACTTTACCATTATAATTTTGATAAAGACTATGTAGATTATGTAGATTTCCCTTCTCAGATTGAAAAAAATAGAAGGATGCAAAAGAGAGAAAATAGATACAAAAAAACATGTTAGTATAGTTAAACCTATTTAAAAAATAGCAAGAGATAAGTTTATGTTTAAAATTCTTTGCTCCTCTAAAGGTAAATTTATATTTTTTGATCTACAAAGTCTACACACAAATGTGAATGCAAAAAAATCTACACACAAATTTGAATGCAAAAAACCCCCCAGAGAATAATTAAAATTCTCACTACATCTCTTTCAAACAAAAAAAAAATATATCATCAATGAACCACTTATAGAGTGTTCAGGTTCGTGCTAAACATATGCCCTGAATATAAATAAACTGAGATTCCAAATAGGACATAAATACATTGATGTAACTTGGTGCAAACCTAGTCCCCACAACAGTACCTTGACATTGTAAATAAAAATCCCCCTCAATCCAAATCATTTTTTGGGGAAGAAATTGTAATTCTCAGTAAAAATTCCAGATTTCCTTAGGTGGTAAGCTTCACACCCTTTGCTGTGACCAACAGCCTCACACCCTTTGTTGTGACCATTATTAGTGCATAGTCTGTTGACATAACATTCAACTAAAAACAAACTTTCACCCCCTAAAAAACTTTTAAGATTTGTAATAAAATAGAATATTTTCAGTAGGAAAAGGGAATTTTGGTCAAATATAAATTACAGGTATTTTAGGGTTCTCAAATTAATTTTTTTTTTTTTTAAATTAAGAATCTCTTTTAACAGCCTTGATCTAAAAATTCAAAGTTGATTCATAGACATGTCTTTATTTGGACCATTTAACTGGCTCAGAGCATGCTAAGAGCAAGGCCAAGGAGGGAGAGAGTGGGGAGGGAGAGGCATGTGAAATAAAAAAACCTATAGGAGGTTATAGAGACGGCTTTAATGAAGGATGGCGAGGAGACAAACTCTTTCTTTTGCAGGCTCTGCCTGGAAGGGAAAAGTTAATTAAGTCCATTGCCAGGGTTCAGTTTGTGGTGATGATGAACATCATTTTTGCACAGAATTGACATTTGGCAGTCCAGAAAAGAAT